TGTTTCAAAAACTGTGTTCGGAAAACCAAAACTATGTTCAACAAATGATTTATAATAACGAATCAAAATTATTTGATATCATCCAACTTTATTTTTTACATACCATCACTCATTATCATAAAGTTGTCAGTGAGCGTAATAAAATCACATATTGCGGTGATAATCGATATAAATTACGAGCAAAGATTCACCCTAAACCTCACAAGACCACATAAAGCGATCCTTTCCTTATTTGACTACAAAATTATATGAACACATACCCAAAGACCCAAAACAATTTCGAAATACACATACTTTTAAAAAGAATTTATCGAAATGGATACGCGCAATAGGAAGACAGCATTACTGAATTCCTATAAAATATTCCTTAAAAATTCTCATCCTCTTCATAAACACCTCTTTGATATAAATTTTTCTTTAAGTTGCTTTCAAGAAATAACCTTTTTGCCACAAAAAAACGCTCCAATAGCTATTGTCAACAATAAAATGATAAACAAACCATGGGCGTAGTGAAGAAAAGCATTTACTTATTAAGTAAATTCTTTTAGTCAAATGTCTTCTGAAAGTAGTATAAACTAATCTGATGACCTATTAAAGTCTATTTTAAAATTTAATTCAATAAATCTTCAAAACTACTGAACTGAAGCTCATGTATTTTACATCATTATAAAGAGAATCGAAAGACCTTTAAAATAAGGTATCACTCGCCCCCCCCCTTTCCATTTAAGATTTTAGGGTTGGTATCACCCCCGCCCAGGGGGCGGTATGTGTTAACGTGATTTTTTGCCAAACTGGTGTCCCACTCAAAAACAAAATCGACGGGTCTGAGCGTTTTCCAAAAAAAAAACTGAGCTTCCAGTAAATGCGTCTGTTTCGTTTTCGATGCGCCACCCTGTATATATGAAGTAAATAAATGCTTCTACCTATTAGTTGAGTTACCATTATCTTGCCCTTTAATTGGATTAGTCTGTTGGGAAACTATAGTTAAATAAATAAGTAAATAAACAATGAACTCAAAGCTTGTTTTCAAAAATACATTTTTTATTACTACCTGGTACCATTCGTATTAACTAAAACGTGGCCCTGTCCTAGGATGCAACGATATGCAAACCAACCTCATCTCCGTAATATGTTTATTGCTCTAACCCGCACGATCGTAAGTGCCAAGTGTGAGCGGCAACTAAATAATGTAGTGATCTAGCACAGACTTGAGGTTTTCCACGTGTTAATAATTTCACGGGTGATCGAGAATCGATTAACCTTACCTGCAAAATGTTTACATGCGATTAAAGATTAATCACTTTGGTAGCTAGGTGTTAACCACTTAACATTTATCCATCTTTCACAGTCTATGAGTAAAATATACTGGTATATTTTGGGAAAAACGCTCAGACATGTCAATTTTGATTTCTAGGGGGGCGTCCTTTCATCTATAATCGTACAATACAAGGTGATCCAAAAATAAAGTATTGCGTTAGAATTTAATTTTTAAATAGACACAAATTATACTAAGTGACATATAAATCCGAACACCCAGTTTAAATGGCTTTATTTTAATAAAAGTTGGTGAATGTATTTATCTTACTGTAAATAACAGGTGAAAAAATTTTCAGCCTTATCAGTTGGACATTCCGGTTTTTATACTGCTTTTTTTTTTAATTCACTAACGCTCTAAAAATGAATATTTCAGCCGCAGTAAAGAATCAACGTTGGCGGATTTTGGTTCTTGACATCCTTTACGATCGGTTACGATGCCTAGAGTACGGAGACCTGTACGATTTCGTCAACTTAGTGAGATTGATAGGGGCCGTATAGTGGGACTTCGGGAAGCTGGACTTTCTTTTCGGGCAATTGCAGTTAGAGTGCAAAGAAGTGTAGACACTGTGGTTAGGTGTTGTCAGGCATGGCTTCGAGAAGGCCGTACGCAAAGTGCAAGGGGCACTGGACGCCGCCGTAGAACAACAGACCGTGAAGATCGCCGCCTAAGATTATCGGCCTTAAGGGACCGTTTCTCCACTACCAGGTCCATTGCAAATGAATGGTTTGCAGAACACGGAAGACCTATTGGCATGCGAAGTGTTTACCGACGAATGAGAAGTTTTGGCTTGTTTTCATACCGGCCACACTGGGTCCTCCCTTTAACTCGAGAACACCGACGTAATCGCCTTGAGTGGTGCAGACAACGGTTACTCTGGGATCAGGAATGGAACAGTATTGTCTTTAGTGACGAGTCTCGATTTTGTTTAGGCATGCACGATGGTCGTGCCAGGGTTAGAAGGCGACGTGGTGAAAGGAGGAATCCACAGTTTTTTGTTGAAAGACATCACACTGTTGGGGTTATGGTTTGGGGTGCTATAGCTTATGGTTCCAGGTCACCTTTAATCTTCATCAGAGGTAACATGAATGCGCAGCGTTATATCCACGAAGTTCTAGAACCCCATCTTTTACCCTATCTTGACACCCTGGCAGATCCAACTTTCCAACAAGATAATGCCCGACCACATGTTGCAAGAGACAATAGACTTCTTTCAACATAATGATGTCACATTGTTACCATGGCCACCAAGATCTCTCTACTTATCTCCAATTGAGCACGTGTGGGATATGATGGGCAGGAGATTTCTCAATTTGCAACGTCCTCCTCAGACTCTAGAAGCACTTCGAGAGGAGTTGGTGGTTGCCTGGAATGAGATACCACAGGAGGACATTGACCACCTGATCAGAAGCATGCCTAGGCGCGTTGGAGAATGCGTAGCACATCACGGTGCATCCACACATTATTAAAGGTCAAAGGGCTTTAAAGCAGTGCAATCATTTTGAAATTTTTATCATTTACTTATTATGCTTCATTAAGTACTTATACAAAATTGTATTAAAATAAAACCATTTAAACTGGGTGTTCGAATTTATATGTCACTTAGTATATTTATTTGGGGAGCATTTGAGAAGTCAAGTTTTTAGTACACAGCCAGATTCCATTCAATATCTTCGTCAGCGGATTACCGCTGAGTATAGACAGATAACTCAAAACATGTCGTCTTATGCTTGAAAATGTGAGGAATAGATTCTAGATAAACGCACTAAAAAACCTTGCAATGCTCCCATCTTGGTAATACAGTTTTGTTATTTCTACCCTTTCCTGAATTGAATTGTTCAATATTTATCACAACTAGGTAGGTAACTTAACAATTTGGATTGGAAGACAAAGTATCCATGATTATTATTTTTTGCCATACAGTCACAAATATGGGTGCGACGTTTTCGTTGGGCCACCCTGTATGATACAATTTCTTGTAAGTCTCTTGATGCATGTTATAGGTACACGAAACTTACGTCATCGTTTGAGTCAAACTTTGTTTCGATGAAAATACCTCAAAATATCAAGAATCGATACCTATTTAGCAGTTAAAGGACGATTTAGCTCCCATTGTAGCATTTAAAAAGGAAACTTTGAGATAACAAGCAGCTCAGGGGTTGAGATAGACCTGCAACAGATCGGTGAACACCCAGAACAACTAGTCTATACTAAGTGACATATAAATCCGAACACCCAGTTTAAATGGTTTTATTTTAATAAAATCTTGTATAAGTACTTAATGAAGCATAATAACTAAATGATAAAAATTTCAAAATGATTGCACTGCTTTAAAGCCCTTTGACCTTTAATAATGTGTGGATGCACCCTGATGTGCTACGCATTCTCCAACGCGCCTAGGTATGCTTCTGATCAGGTGGTCAATGTCCTCCTGTGGTATCTCATTCCAGGCAACCACCTACTCCTCTCGAAGTGCTTCTAAAGTCTGAGGAGGACGTTGCAAATTGAGCAATCTCCTACCCATCATATCCCACACGTGCTCAATTGGGGATAAGTCGGGAGATCTTGGTGACCATGGTAACAATGTGATATCATTATGTTGAAAGAAGTCTATTGTGACTCTTGCAACATGTGGTCGGGCATTATCTTGTTGGAAAGTTGGATCTGCCAGGGTGTTAAGACAGGGTAAAAGATGGGGTTCTAAAACTTCGTGGATATAACGCTGTGCGTTTATGTTACCTCTGATGAAGATTAAAGGTGACCTGGAACCATAAGCTATAACACCCCAAACCATAACTCCAACAGTGTGATCAACATGTCTTTCAACAAAAAACTGTGGATTCCTACTTTCACCACGTCGTCTTCTAACCCTGGCACGACCATCGTGCATGCCTAAACAACATCGAGACTCGTCACTAAAGACAATACTGTTCCATTCCTGATCCCAGAGTTACCGTTGTCTGCACCACTCAAGGCGATTACGTCGGTGTTCTCGAGTTAAAGGGAGGACCCCGTGTGGCCGGTATGAAAACAAGCCAAAACTTCTCATTCGTCGGTAAACACTTCGCATGCCAATAGGTCTTCCGTGTTATGTAAACCATTCATTTGCAATGGACCTGGTAGTGGAGAAACGGTCCCTTAAGGCCAATAATCTTAGGCGGCGATCGTCACGTTCTTTTGTTCTACGGAGGCGTCCAGTGCCCCTTGCTCTTTGCGTACGGCCTTCTCGAAGCCATGCCTGACAACACCTAACCACAGTGTCTACACTTCTTTGCACTCTAACTGCAACTGCCCGAAAAGAAAGTCCAGCGTCCCGAAGTCTCACTATACGGCCCCTATCAAACTCACTAAGTTGACGAAATCGTACAGGTCTCCGTACTCTAGGCATCGTAACCGATCGTAAAGGATGTCAAGAACCAAAATCCGCCAACGTTGATTCTTTACTGTGGCTGAAATATTCATTTTTAGAGCGTTAGTGAATTGAAAAAAAGCAGTATAAAAACCGGAATGTCCAACTGATAAGGCGGAATTTTTTTTCACTTGTTATTTACAGCAAGATAAATACATTCACCAACTTTTATTAAAATAAAATCATTTAAACTGGGTGTTCGGATTTATATGTCACTTAGTATATTTCTGTTCGTGTATTTTGGATTCATCAGTTTACATTTAAAAATTCCAGTCTAATTTGTTTGACGTTTGTTTATACGTGCTACGAGTACAAATAAATATGTCTAAATATAAATAGGATTTATTCGGAAATGTAAGGTTAGATTGACAGTTCATCTGTATGTTCCGACACAGTTGTTTAAAAACATGAATAGGAGTCACTTCAAATTGATAGATATTCTATGTTGTCCAAATGGATCCAGTTCTTGCCAAGCGTATTAGATTTGGAATGTCGCATTCATTTTTCCTACAAAAAGATAATTATGATATAAATGATAATTGGCTGTACACGTTTTTATTACAAAAAGGCTAATACTTTCACTACCGAGCCTCCTGAAAGATAATAAGCGAGTGTGTAGCGCTTTCCTTGCGACTTTATTTAACAAAAGACGATTGATTATTGGTCACAGGTCACACTCTTTTACAAGTACCTCCTATTTGTAACCAAGGTTAGAACAAGGAAATGAACAGTGCAAACCTAAGCATCTCTACATGTGACGTTATCATAACAGTGCCGTAATGTGCCTGGGCCGTTGGGATGGAAATATGTTTTCCCTCCTAACAAATATATTGAATTCTGAAAGCTGGTAAAATTAGGAAAACAACGTCTATGGGGCTTTGTTGAAGACTTTACGACAAAATCGGGACTCCAAAAAATGTTTGGCGGTGGTCTAAAATGTTTTAGTTTATTATCTTATTCTTCTTGAATCGCGTTTGGTCACTTCCAAAATACATTACGGCACAATACTCTCCAAATTTTATAAGACTCGGTTTATCGCAATCGGGTACTGATACAAAAAGAAACTTCCAAAAAACGTGCATATCCCTGATTTGAGAAATAGGTGACAAAATCGGATCCCTAGTTAGAATTGTCTCTCGTCTTAAAGGTCAGGTCAATTGTGGGTGTAAGTAGAAGAACAAGTTGTAGAAAATATTCTAGACAGCTGAAAATATTAAAAATGTCGTCTACTTATGTCCTAGAGCAGCCGATCTACGCGGAAACAATTTTGGCAGATTTTCCGAAGTTGAATGATCACAATAGATAATCAACCAGAAACTCGATTGTCCTCCAAATTCCATCAGACTGCCATCTACAAAAAACAAAGCTATAAAATTGGTCAATATATTGTCAGACACTCTGAAGACGTTGCCATCGGAATTAATTGAAAATAGGGTAAAGACTGTGCTAAAACAGAATTTACTGGATACAATAATTGCATAACAAGTATTACTTTTGCGGCCAAGAAGAGCGTCTTTTCTGTAAGATGTGTTCCTTCAGTCACTTTTTCCTCAATTCATGTTTTCACGTGAATTATTCATGCTTGTGTAAATGTCTTATTCTGTGATTTTGGATTTAATTTATTGTATATGTGTTTTTTTTCTAATGTTCTTTATTTTGCTCTTGAGCCGACTATTTTACAAGTTTTACTGTTCATTTTTATTTTCTTACATGTTCTATATCTACCGAACTAATAAAGATTCTGATTCTGTTACATGGGGATCAAAACGTTCGTTTAAGAAAATCATTACAACCATTACTATTTATTTTATATATTAAGGATATTCCTGATATTTTACTACACTGCAACATTCAACTATTTGCTGATGATACATTAATATATATATATATACACCTAACTGGTCTAGACAACAATGACCACGTCTCAAGTTATATATATATATATATATACAGGGTGTCCGCAAAGTTGGGGTTTTCCTTTTCAGAAACAAATACCCTTGAAATAACAAAGGTAATGTGTAGTGAAACGAGGGCGACCAAGTAAAAAAAAATAAAGGAAAAAGTACTCACTCTCCAGTTGACGAGAAGGGCTAAGTACGTCTCTGCCCGAAATCATACCGCTCCAACAGAAAATGAAATCAGCTGATGCGCTACCGAGCAGACGCCGGCGGTGGTGCAGACCACGAACAGAGGTAACAAATAAGACGGCGTTGCCGCGTTTTCAGTTTTTAGGTAAACGTACTTTATAGGTATTGTCGCCGTTTGATTCAAAAACACAGGTGCGTGCACGACGTAGCCAAGCATCGGTGCAGGCTTTGAGAATGGAGTCCCTCCCCCGAATGAAAGCACCAGCTTGTTCAATTCTGAGACGAAGTTCGTCAACCGTATGCACTTCAGTTTTGTACACTAAGCGTTTCATTTCTCCCCAAAGAAAAAAATCACATGGTGTTAAGTCTGGAGATCGCGGAGGCCACGCTACGGGTCCATTACGTCCGATCCACCTATTCGGAAATAATTCATTCAAAAACTCACGCACTTCGCGTCTAAAATGGGGCGGTGCACCATCGTGCAGAAACCACATTGATTGTCTTACACTTAATGGCACATCTTCTAACAAGGAAGGCAAAATGTTGCGTAAAAAGTCTAGGTATTGCATCCCGTCCAATCGATTTGGGAGAATAAATGGTCCAATAAGCATACCGTTCATCATGCCAGCACAAACATTCACCGAAAATGTTTGTTGAAAATGTGCCGGACGGACAGCGTGCGGATTTTCTACTGACCAAACATGAGTGTTGCGAAAGTTAGGTATTCACCCCATTACGCGTGAACGTAGATTCGTCTGTCGCAAATATGCACTTCAAAAAGTCCGGATTATTGTCATGTTGATGCAACAACCACTCACAAAACCGCACTCTTGCTGGAAAATCGTCAGGTTGAAGGGCTTGTACACGTTGGACGTGAAACGGATACAGCCCCTCTTCACGAAGCGTTTGCCACACTTTAGTTTTTGATACTTGCACTTCTCTAGCCATGTCTGTAGTGCTTGTTGTTTTTTGAAACGCAATCGATTATACGGGTTCGTTTACCTCTACACGCGAGACCGTAACCGTCGGTTGAAGGTTTCATACTGACCCGACACACTGACCCCGACCCAGTTCTGTCGTCGGGTTGAGCCAGTGACCTTGTACCACTCGGTGATGTCGCGGGTCGCGGCTACAGGACGGTATTCAGATATATTTGATGTTGCAGAGCCCTTTATCTCGGTTCCCTTAAGACATTGGTGTATATGGTACTAAGAAAAATTGCTTATGTTTTCAAGATCTACACGTCGTGTAAAGTAAAACCCCAACTTTGCGGACACCCTGTATATATATATATATATATATATATCAAATAAAGACATTGAAACTGCAATAGAGCTGTTAAATAACAACGTAATAAATTGGTTAAATGTAAATTATCTTAAACTAAACACAGACAAAACAAAATACATGTTAATAGGAAAATCTTTAGATCAAAACACGATAAATCTTACAATTAATCATGAAAAAATTGTGTGTCATTCCTCCTTTATTATATTGTTCGACTATTTTGTTCACTACAAATGAAACTGTATTTTCAAAGTTACAAGTATTACAAAATAAAGCTATGAGAATCATTTTAATTATTATTTGCTGAAAGAAAGTCATCTTCTACCAAATCACTTAGAAAATTTTATTGTATTGAACAATGAGTGCCACAATTATTCTACTAGAGGAAGTATAGACTTTCATTTACAAAACTACAGTAGCAATATAACGAGCAACTCAGTATTTCAAAAGGGATTGTTCAAATTCAATAAATTAAGTAATGATATCAAGATATGTGTCAGTTTGAAAACGTTCAAGGGGAATTTGAAAAGTATGTCGCGGAAAACCAGAATTCATAGTAATGAAATTTTGTATAAAAATATGTAGTCTTGAAGACATAATATATTTTGTGATATACTGTGTAATAAGGATATTATGGACATTGTAGAATTAATGCTTAATAAATCTAAGACAAACAAACAAAATTACTCACCTACCTTTTTCCAAGCAACCGTCGTTCTGATTATACACATCGTCCACATTAACAAACAAAGTGACGATCTTAACACCTGTGTTTATATGATTTTGCTGGGACATAGTTTTTCCGAAGGCGACAAGATAGTGTCTACATCCCTCGAAATAAGGTGTCGCTAGTGTGCTCTCTCTATCACAAACCATGTTCAGAACAGAGCCACCGTCTCCGCCGTTCGACGCGTCCATGTATTTGTAGCCTAACAATGTACTCTTGACTATACCTTTCTGAAAATAGATAGATAAACATGCTTTATTGTATGAAGAAATCAGTCATTTTTAATGACAAAGCAAGCTTAAAACTAAATTATAATATAATTACTTAAGTGGATGTACTGTAGAACTTACATATATGGTTTGCATATTAAAAAGTTTCTCAGTTCACGGCGGAATATCTTTAAATTGTTAATATCTTTGATAGCATCTTGAAGACACATGTTAATTTTGAGAACATTATAAATTATTGAGTCTTTCACAAATGCTGTTTTTGGTACAACTAATTTAAGATGCTTTTGTCTAATATTATAACTTATATTTAATATTTCAATTTTAGATTTATTTAAAATAAATGGTAAAGTTGCTGTTTCTAAAATGAACAATAGTTTTTTGAGATTCATAGATAACGGCCTGCTTGTATGCAGGATTGCTTTAGTTATACAGGGTTATCCAAATTAAGTGTCCACCATTAGTAACTTTGTTATTAGTGAAAATACAAAGTTGTTTGAATTAGCAAACTAGTAGCATTTTTAACGCTGGTAAAAATGAGAAATAAAAAAAACAATTGAGAGTCGTTATTTTGATTTTTTTCAGTAAAATAACATTTTTTTAAATGGAAACCCTTGTATATTATATTTTTTTCTGTTAAAGCATCAAATTTTAAACAAAAAAGTTCATAATGACTTTTCCGCTAAAGTCAAAAATAAAGTCAAAATAACGATAAATATTTTTAATTATTTGCAGAATTATAATATTAAGACGGCTATGAAAACAACATGGCGTTCGCGATTTGACAGCATTAAGATAAGCGACAAATTGTTAAACTGGACATACTCGCAACTAGAAGGCTTTGGAAAACAATGATAAAATCAAATAATGTCAAACATTAGTGTAAATACTTGTTTATAAGCTTTATTGTGTCATTAATTTAAAGAAAAATGTTCTCCCATGAAGAAAAGTGTGATATGTTAGAATGCTATTTAGTGTGCAGAAAATCCTCCTTGAGAGCAAGAGAATACTACAGTGAATTATATCCCGCTCGCATTCAACCGTATGAACGATATTTTCTGAGACTTTATCGAAAATTTAGGGGCAACGAAAATGTTTTTGCTAAAACAAGGGCAAAAAAAGAATTCATAATAAGCGAGGCCACGGAAATTGCAGTTATTGGATATTTTGAAGCTTATCGTGAGAGTTCAATAGCAGATATTCTCAAGGACTCTAATGTCAGTTATGGTACTGTTCAAAGGATTTTAAAAAAATACAAATTTATTCCGTATAAGTACCGACCAGTTCAAACGCTTTTGGCAGGGGATCCAGAGAGAAGACTTGTTTTTTGCCATTGGTATCTTAGCTTCTGTCGCCAAAATGTAAATAACTTTCGTTACCTTTTCTGGACAGATGAATCAAATTTTTCAAATTCTGGAATGTTTAATAGAAAAAACCACCATTATTGGTCAAGAGAAAATCTTTTGTTAGTACATCCAAGAGGCCCACAAGTCCGTTTCAGTTTCAACGTTTGGTGCGGTATAATTGGTTCAAAAATTGTTGGCCCGTTCTTTTATGAGGGAACCCTAACTGGTGAAAGATATGTGGAATTTATGTCAGAAATTCTGACTAATTTCTTAGACGAATTGGATCTTATAAGTAGACATCATCTGCATTTTCAGCAAGATGGCGCACCTGCCCACAACTCCAGAGGTACTTATCATTTTCTAAGTACTACTTTTAATGATCAGTGGATAGGAACAAATGGCCCAATACAGTGGCCTCCCAGATCACCAGATCTAAACCCACTTGATTACTTCTTGTGGGGTTACTTAAAGAACCAAATTTACAAGCGAAGGTACGATAACCTTGACGCGTTAAAGACTGCAGTTAGGGAAAAGATAACCCAGATAGATGGTAGGACCATACTTAAGACAGTTCGAGCAGTTGAAAAACGTGCCCAAAAATGTATTGAAGAACAAGGTGGTGTTTTCGAGGATCTTCTTTAAAAAAAATTGTTATTGTATTTTGTAAGATTATAAGTTGATGTTGAAAATAAAGTTTGTCGATACAATTTAATTGTTTCAGATTGGAGGCCATAACTTCAACAATTTGTAACCTAGGAGAAAAGTTATTGTAAGCTTTTTTGTTTAAAATTTGATGCTTTAACAGAAAAAAATATAATATATAGGGGTTTCCATTTAAAAAAATGTTATTTTACTGAAAAAAATCAAAATAACGACTCTCAATTGTTTTTTTTTATTTCTCATTTTTACCAGCGTTAAAAATGCTACTAGTATGCTAATTCAAACAACTTTGTATTTTCACTAATAACAAAGTTACTAATGGTGGACACTTAATTTGGATAACCCTGTATATCTGATAGTTGGTTTTTGTAGAATAAGCATCTTTTTTAAACAATTTTGGGAACACACACCCCAAAAAGAGAATGTTACTGACTGCTTAAGGCAGTGTTTTTCCCTGTAATTTTTTTTTATAATGAAGGAAATATTTGCTGGTTGAATAAGCAATTTGTCTTCGTGATTAGTAAAATCTATTTCAAAGTCAAACGCCAGTCCCAAGAATTTGATAGTGTATGTTTGATCAATTGATTTTTTAAATTTATAAATTTAAGGGAGCATTTGTGTCATAAATTTTGTCTTATTAATACGTATTAAAAGTCAAGTAATTGTTGTGACACAATTTTTTTATTGATTGTGTATCACTATCAATTTTTGTCTATCTGTGCCTTGTAAGAATTCATCATTTGTGTTTAAGTTTCTAATACTGATCCATACTATTTATGATCGATTATTCGGATATGTTTTGAAGCAATTGAGTTCCAATACAACCATATGCGTTTATTTTTTTTAATAGTATATCATAATTTATACAGTCAAAAGCCAAAGGAAAAAGCTAGTGAAATTTGTTTATCGTCAAACCGTTGGAGTAATATGAAAATAGTGCTTAGTATACTTTTTTGATTTTGAAATCCAAATTGGTTGTCACTTATTTTTTATAATAGCATAGTCAAAATCGGCCCTTCTCGACCTACGGAGATAGTCCGGATCTAGGGACTTTTAGTTTTTCCATATATGGTAGATGATTTGTTGCCTCAAAAGAACCACATTTGTCTTGAACCATATGTATCAGTATGCTCCTTACTTATATATATATATATATATATATATATATAGGTGAAAAATTAAAGCTTCCGCCTTTTGTTGGGTACTTCGACAAAATTTAATCAAAGAGGACTCTTTATACTTTTTTAATTCTCTCTAGCTTTCAATGGACTTTGCCATCATCATCAGGAGCTGCAATTACAATGATAACAGTAGCAACAAAAGTGTAAAATGCATTTAAATTGACTCAACTTACAGTAGTAGGTGAGGATGTTGCTAATTGTTGTTTACGTATAGGATGAGCGAAACGTCCAGTAACATGGTGCGAGCTGGATAGATGGTACAATGGACAAAATTATATAAAATATGACAAGAACAAGTTAAAAACAGATTAAAAATTATTTAAAAACATTAGAGCATTACATCGTGAAGCCATTTGATGATTGCACAAAATGGTGGTCATGGAATAATGAGTGAGATGAACCCTTTGACAGAAGGCCGAAGGTTGTCAATGTCTGTGTTGAAAGATGGAACGAATTGTGGGCGTGTGCCAAACGTTGCCAAATCACTTCAGATGATATGATTTTCAGAATGTTATGTAAGAAATTGTTAAACCGACCAGAGGCAGTTGAATAAACTATATTTTAATTAATGGGAATTCAAATTAACAATTATTGAGAAGAGAATTATTAGATTTTGAGTGGAATGAAATTTATTGGTGGAATCGGCCAAAACAATGATGAAATAAATAACAACTGTATCAACAAAAAGACAGATGTTAAACAACTGAGTGTCATTTACTCATATTTGCTAAATTGCAAATAATTGGAGAACTTACATATCTCCCCAAATTTCGACTCTTCACAACTATAAATAGAATCTGTGTTTTGGTCGATTCCACCAATAAATTTCATTCCACTCAAAATCTAATAATTCTCTTCTCACGATTTATCAATAATTGTTAATTTAAATTCCCATTAATTAAAATATAGTTCATTCAACTGCCTCTGGTCGGTTTAACAATTTCTTTCATAACATTCTGAAAATCACATCATCTGAAGTGATTTGGCAACGTTTGGCACACGCCCACAATGCGTTCCATCTTTCAACACAGACATTGACAACCTTCGGCCTTCTGTCAAAGGGTTCATCTCACTCATTATTCCATGACCACCATTTTGTGCAATCATCAAGTGGCTTCACGATGTAATGCTCTAATGTTTTTAAATAATTTTTAATCTGTTTTTAACTTGTTCTTGTCATATTTTATATAATTTTGACCATTGTACCATCTATCCAGCTCTCACCATGTTACTGGACGTTTCCCTCATCCTATACGTAAACAACAATTAGCAACATCCTCACATACTACTGTAAGTTGAGTCAATTTAAATTCATTTTACACTTTTGTTGCTACTGTTATCATTGTAATTGCAGCTCCTGATGATGATGGCAAAGTCCATTGAAAGCTAGAGAGAATTAAAAAAGTATAAAGAGTCCTCTTTGCTTAAATTTTGTCGAACTACCCAACAAAAGGCGGAAGCTTTAATTTTTCACCTATATATATAAAATAAAGATATTGAAACTGCAATAGAGCTGTTAAATAATGACATGGAAAACGTATTGGTTAAATGCAAATTAAATTATTAAATATTTTTCGTAACTATACATTGATCCGAATCCAAATTGTTGAGTATCAAGATGTTTCCTAATTAAATATAAATATTTAAGGGTAAGCCGTATACAACAGTGTACCTAACTTACCACGTTTTTGTCAATTTCAGTTTCCCAGTTGCGATGTCCCACTGAATTTGCTATATTCACTAATACGTCAATTTTTTGGAAATGCTCCAAAGTTTTTTCGAATGCATCTGTAAATTCAGAACATTATTATTTGTTATCCAGGTGAGAAGTCTCTGTGTGAGTTCATGAAGATAAGTTTAAGCAAGATCTAAGTTAGGTTAAATATGAGGTGACTTTATAAATGCACCATAATAATTCAAATTAGAGAAATAGTAGTAAAAACTCACTATTCAAGAGATTGTCGCATGCAAAGTTAGTACGTATGAATGCAGTTTTTTCAGGTCCATACTCGGCGCTCAATTTAACAACTAGATTTTTGCCTGATTCTTCGTCTTCATCTGCAATCATTACAGACTTATTTGGATGTCAGAAAAGTTAAATGTGCCTACTAAACGTCGCAAGTCCCTAGAAAAGACATCACTCTGTCAGCACAAAGTGCTATGAGAAAAAAATTAACAAAGCCAATTACAATTTTATGTAACAGCTAACACGTTTACTTAGTTAAATTAAGCTCCGATTTCTAAAACAGTTTACTTATATCTATGAAACTAATTCAATTTTATATACAGGGTGACGCATTGATAACGAAACAGACGCATTTACTAGCAGATCAGTTTTTTTTTTGAAGAAACGCTCAGACCCGTCGATTTTGTTTTCGAGGGGGACGCAGGTTTGGCAAAAAATCACGTTAACACGTGCAGCCCCCTGGGCGGGGGTGACACCAACCCTAAAATCTTAAATTGGAGGGGGGTCGAGTGATACCTTATTTTAAAGGTCTTTCAATTCCCTTTATAATGATGTAAAATACATGAGCTTCAGTTCAGTAGCTTTGAAGATTTATTATTAAGTAAATTCTTTTAGTCAAATTTCTTCTGAAAGTAGTACAAACTAATCTGATTACCTATTAAAGTCTACTTTAAGCTTTAAATCAATAAATCTTCAAAACTACTGAACTGATGTACATTAATTTTATTTCATTATAAAGGGAATTGAAATAAGGTATCATTTAAGATTTTGGGGGAGGTGTCACCCCCGCTTAGGGAGCTGTCCTGTGTCCCCCTCGAAAACAAAATCGACGGGTCTGAGCGTTTTTCCAAAAAAAAAACTAAGCTGCCAGTAAATGCGCCTGTTTCGTCTTCGATGCGCCACCATGTATAGTGGTCGACTGTGAAAATATTAAACGTTATTTAGTTCTCATTTGTATATTCAAATTAAAAAACAATTCATTACCACCACATTTAGAAAATTCCACAGAATTAAATAGTCATTATCATAACTACGGAACTAGAGGCAGTATATATACTAAGTGACATATAAATCCGAACACCCAGGTAAAATGGTTTTATTTTAATAAAAGTTGGTGAATTTATTTATCTTACTGTAAATAACAAGTGAAAAAATTCTCAGCCTTATCAGTTGGACATTCCGGTTTTTATACTGCTTTTTTTTAATTCACTAACGCTCTAAAAATGAATATTTCAGCCGCAGTAAAGAATCAACGTTGGCGGATTTTGGTTGTTGACATCCTTTACGATCGGTTACGATGCCTAGAGTACGGAGACCTGTACGATTTCGTCAACTTAGTGAGTTTGATAGGGGTCGTATAGTGGGACTTCGGCAAGCTGGACTTTCTTTTCGGGCAATTGCAGTTAGAGTGCAAAGAAATGTAGACACTGTGGTTAGGTGTTGTCAGGCATGGCTTCGAGAAGGCCGTACACAAAGAGCAAGGGGCACTGGACGCCGCCGTAGAACAACAGACCGTGAAGATCGCCGCCTAAGATTATTGGCCTTAAGGGACCGTTTCTCCACTACCAGGTCCATTGCAAATGAATGTTTTGCAGAACACGGAAGACCTATTGGCATGCGAAGTGTTTACCGACGAATGAGAAGTTTTGGCTTGTTTTCATACCGGCTACACTGGGTCCTCCCTTTAACTCGAGAACACCGACGTAATCGCCTAGAGTGGTGCAGACAACGGTCACCCTGGGATCAGGAATGGAACAGTCTTTAGTGACGAGTCTCGATTTTGTTTAGGCATGCACGATGGTCTTGCCAGGGTTAGAAGGCGACGGGGTGAAAGGAGGAATCCACAGTTTTTTGTTGAAAGACATGTTCATCACACTGTTGGAGTTATGGTTTGGGGTGCTATAGCTTATGGTTCCAGGTCACCTTTAATCTTCATCAGAGGTAACATGAACGCGCAGCGTTATATCCACGAAGTTCTAGAACCCCATCTTTCACCCTATCTTGACACCCTGGCAGATCCAACTTTCCAACAAGATAATGCCCGACCACATGTTGCAAGAGTCACAATAGACTTCTTTCAACATAATGATGTCACATTGTTACCTTGGCCACCAAGATCTCCCGACTTATCTCCAATTGAGCACGTGTGGGATATGATGGGTAGGAGATTGCTCAATTTGCAACGTCCTCCTCAGACTCTAGAAGCACTTCGAGAGGAGTTGGTGGTTTTTATCATTTACTTATTATGCTTCATTAAGTACTTATACAAAATTTTATTAAAATAAAACCATTTAAACTGGGTGTTCAGATTTATATGTCACTTAGTATACATTTTCGTCTGCGATATTGTAATAGTAGCATACTAGCAAATCTGTATTTCAAAAGGAGTAGTAAACGAAAAGGCAATAACACAAAATACTACTCAGCTGTCCGAAACTGATTTCTTCACATTTTAATAAAGGTAAACAAAAACAAAGATAAAACGTTCACATTGTTGCCACATCATGCTTTGAATGTAGTCATTATATTGCCAAAAAACAAGTTGCAGAAATTATTTTTTCTGGGTATAACAATTTTAAAGTCCTGGACTGATGAAACTTCGTCGACAATAACACGAAGTGGCGTTTCTCAGAAAATACGAAGATTGAGTTAAGTCGGTTTTATTACTCAAAAAGGTCGCTCTTCAATATCACGAAGTGGAATAAGTCAGTTTATGATACCTTCAGAGTTAGAGAAAAATAATATTAGACTTATCTCATTTAAATAGCAAATTAAATTAAATCTCACGCGGGAGCTTAACTCAAGTTACTTCGTGTTATGGATGACAAAATGTGTCTTAGGATCTTATTGTCCTGAAAGCCCTTAAAATTCAAAGCGGCTCCAAAGACTTAGAATCATGCAAACCAAGAGAATTTTACTTCTTACCTCACTTAGCAAGAAAAACTTTGAACGTACGAATCGTTTAGCGACGCCTCCTGCAAAAAGAATTAGCCAAACACGTAACTCTCAGCACAGAATGATCAACCAATAATATTTTTGTAGGTAATATACAGGGTGTAGACGTTATGGTAGTCATTATTAAAATGGGTAATAGGGTCAAAACAAGTCCAAAAGTTAAATGATTTTTGTCTAAATGGCTTTATAGTTTACAACTTTAAGTATTTTATACGGACCACAATCTTACTAATTTTAATAATCTAATCTAGAACGTTTTTAAACTGGGTAATTAACAAATAAATGGAATTAAGTTTTTCTAAGTTAAGCTAAAATTTGTAGTCAGTAAGAAAGTAAGTTTCATTAAATTAAATATTTAAAACACACTTGACAACAGCGCGTCGATCTTTCTTCACTCTTATCGAACCGGCAATCGATCGCAAACGGTAACAGTGGTTATTGTGGGCCCAAGAAAATCCTCATACCATTCGTGAAGGTCATTTCCAACAACGTTTTAAAATAAATATTTGGGCGGATAATAAGGACATACAGGTATTTTTATTTCATCCGAAAACAATCACATATTTCACACAGGATGATCACAAACGTGTGGGAAGTCTTCTCAAGTGACATTATGGTCCTTAATTGGAGGCATAGCTTGATAACGGCACCTACTTGCAGCGACATGCCTTGCTCATCCTACCACTTTTGGTAATTACTGTATTTATACACGATGATGTCCTTGTGGGCATATTCCTGCTTGTTGGGCAAATAGTACCTCTTACTGCCATCAGCCATAGCCCGAGTTACCCTGACAAACTCTCCGTTTTGGTTTAGCATATCAGCTGGTGGTTTCAACACCTCGACATGGTTGTTGTTCATGCTACTGGCGCACTGCCTGCATCCGTATCTGCTGTCAAGCATTGAACAATTGACGGGAAGGTTCTTGCAGCTTTTGCTTCTTTCTAGAGAGAAGCAGTTGCCGTTTCTGCCGATCACGTTGTTAGCGTATCCATATTCTATAGCCGCGTTTACGATGCTGAATGCCTGCTCTTTCATCTCTTCGGTAAGATTGTCACGCGGTCGGGGAGAGGAATGCCTTGCTTTGTACCTGTTTGGATTGGTAGAGTGTGGTCCGTCTTGCCTTCCGACATTGCCGCTGTTTTCCTTCCGCATCTTTACAGCACTATTCTCTCTGTTCCCAGGTGTCGGATGATCCGCCGTGCCGAACAGTCTCCTCAGCTTTGCCAAATAATACAAAATCAGACTTTCGTAGTTCTTGGGTTGCTTAACAGCAGTTGAAGATTTTCTCTTAACAGGCTGCTCACAATTTTTTCTGCTACATGTCTCTGTTGTCTGGAACTTCCTCTAGACCTTCTTGACGATTTTCTGTGGCTTGAGTTAGCGTGTGGGGCCACGAGCAGGTAATTGGCCCTTTCGAGTTACCCCCAGGAGAAGGATACCTTAGCTTTCTAACCAATAACCTACCAGAACTTTTGGAACAGACCTTAGACAACATGCCATTACAACGGAGACGGAATTTGTATTTTTTTCATGACGGGGCAGCACCACACATTTTTAGAGGCATCATTTAGTATTTGAATGAACATTATCCAAATCGCTGGATCAGTTGAAATCCTCCTGATCCTCGAAAATGGCCACCAAGGTCTCCTGACCTCAATCCGATGGATTTCTGGTATTGGGGAGAACTTAAAGGGATGGTTTATGGGGCTGGTCCAATAACAACTGAACCACAACTTCGCGAAAAAAGTTTTAATGCGGCTGAAATAATAAATGGACAACTTCCAGGACCTAGAGTAAGAAGAAACTGGGTTTGTCGTAATGAAGCTTGTGTGGAAAGTGGAGAACGACATATTGAACAACCTCTTTAAATACAAAAAAGTGCAGTGTAGGTTTTAAAAGAAAAACAATGTATGTATCAAAATTGTGTTCCCTATTTATAAAAAATAACAATTAAAGAGACATAGTTCTTGGACTTAAATCTATAGTATCAAACATTCTAAATAAAATTGGATGATCTATAGCAGTTAATAATCGATGCACAACTGTCACTGTAAATATCACACGATTCAGTAACACTGTTCATGACGCAGCACATGAGATTAATTGGCGATTTTGTCATAACATTTGTACGGCCAGCTTGACAATAGAATGCCGTTTGTTGTCGACTCCCTACCCTTGGAACGCGGAAACATATTTGTTCAAGTAAATTTTGACAGTCAATTATATTGTGAATGAATGACAGTGAATCCAAATTGAAAAATTCTAATAGGGCACTATGGTCACAACCTCTTTCTGGATAAGAACCTGTGCATTTAAGAAGAAAATACATTAAAGCTTTACGTTGAATGGCCTCAAGGATCACGACAGAATTTTGGTATATAGGAGACCTGATCAGAGTCGCATACTCCAACTAGCTCCTGACAAAAGTAAAAAATAAAGTCATTAATGTATCAACATTGGAGAAACCCTTCCAGTTTCTGATAGAGAAACCAAGTAGTCGAGTGGCAGCCGACGAGATATTGAGTATATGCTCAGTAAACGTTAGCTTGGTATCAAAAGTGTCTCCAAGGTCTCTATAAGAGGTGCATCCGTCTACAACCTGACCATTGATGTTATAATTACACTGGACAACAAATTTTAGTTTTTTAATTGTATCTTGTGGGAAAAGTGCACTTCTTTGTTAATTTTGGGACGCTGAATCCAAAAATGATAATGAAATAAAAAAATTAGTTGCGGTTTAGAAAAAAAACTTTTTATTTTTAAGAATATATTAAAAAAAGTAACAAGATTCATATACTTATAAGAATCACTATATGCGCTGTCTTTTGCTGTTCTTTTCTGGATCGTTTCTGGAACATCTCTACCAAGAGTCCAACAGTAGTCTGCAAGCATGGAAGGATTCCACTTTCCCTGGTACCTTTTTTCCATTGTTGAAATATCCTGATGAAAACGTTCGCCGTGCTCATCACTTACGGCTCCGCAATTGTCAGGAAAAAAGTCCAGGTGTGAGTGTAGGAAATGTATCTTAAGAGACATATTACAGCCCATCTTTTGATACGATGGCAGCATATTTTTGACAAGGGTTTTATAGTTGTCAGCTTTTCTATTTCCCAAGAAATTAGTGACCACCAGACGGAAATCATTCCAAGCAGTTTTTTCAATACCTGTTGAAGTGTTTTCAAACTGTGCGTCTTTCAAAATATTTCGAATCTGTGACCCAACAAAAATCCCTTCTTTAACCTTTGCCTCACTTAGTCTTGGAAATTTCTGACGCAGGTATTGAAAAGCTGACCCATCTCTATCTAATGTCTTGACAAAGTTTTTCATTAGGCCCAACTTGATATGCAGTGGTGGTAATAAAATTTTTTTCGAATCTACTAATGGCATATGCTGTGCATTTTTTTGACCTGGCTCTAGGAATTGACGAACAGGCCAGTTTTGTGTAGCCTAGCTGCAGCCCAAGTAAAAGTGCAACAACTTTCAAATCGCCACAAATATGCCATTGGTGCTCATCGTATTTTATGCATGTCAATAGGTACTTCATATTGTCATATGATTCTTTCATGTGAACTGCATACCCTACAGGAAGAGATGGTAAAATATTTCCAATATGCAATAACACTGCCTTTAAACTCAATGTTGAACTGTCTATAAACAATCTCCATTCTTCTGGGTTATAGTTTATATTTAAAGCCGCCAGTAAGCCGTTAATGTTACTGCAGAAAACCAAGTTATTCTCCATATTGAAAAATGGTTCTAAGTCTTTGTGGCGTTTATGAAAAACACATACCGAAACATCGTCTTCTAACAAGTTCCACTGCTGCAGTCTTGATCCAAGTAACTCTGCCTTACATTTTGGAAGTTCTAAATCTCTTACAAGATCATTTAATTCTGACTGTGTTATTTTGTGCGGTTGGTGGCATGACGTGCTCGGTATAAAATCAGGATCTCTTGACGTTGATGGCATATCTTCTTCCTGACGAATCACTCGATCGCCATGATCTGATTCGTTTTCTGATTCGCAAGTGTAGGATTCTGGGGGTTTTGGAATAGGATTTTCGTCACTGTGAGGCACAGGTCTCATCGCAGATGGTATGTTTGGGTAGTTAATAACCGATTTTTTTTTCTTGGACATACCTGTGGCTTGTCCAACACAAGGTACCATGCAAAAGTAACAATCATTAATATGATTTGTAGGCTCTCTCCAAACCATTGGGGCAGCAAAGCGCATAGACCGTTTTTTGCCATTTAACCAGCTCCTCAGACTTGAAGCACATGTATTACAGCAAATGTGGGGTGCCCACTGTTTGTCTTGATCACCTAGTTTACAACCGAAATAAAGCTGATATGCCTTTGTTATTAGTGGAGTAATAGACCGTCTCTGAGACGCAAAAGTCACATCACCACACACGTAACAAAACTTATCTGGATTGTTTACACACACTTTCGAGACATCTTGCATGAACGCTGTCAGCCAACTGAGGAAAGAATGGCTAATATAAAACAATATAATGTACACGTATGTATAACGTAACACAATCATGCCGATTACATCATCTTTCCTTGCCGAATATAAAAATGTAGTACGTGCATTCTTGTGAATTACAGTATATTAACACTGTCACATAAGGAACACATATAATTACCGTATCTCTAAAACTTGAACTAATATTGAAAAAATAAGTTTCATTCCGGTTTTAGCACATTAAAAATAGTAATATTTTGTTGATTTTATTTAGGATATTTTTTGGCTGTTGATCAGTGTTATCATAAATTAAATAGTTAACCTTTCTTGTATAAGTCATAACTTTACATTTCGAAACATTCAGACTGAGACAGTTTCGTGAACACCATGACGAAATTAGAGCTGAGTCATCTTGCAGCATGACGCAATCCTCGACTGTCTTGACTGACGTGCAGATTTTAAGGTCATCAGCGAAAAACAAATGGAAACACTGCAGTTCAAAAGACAAGTCATTAATGAATATCAAAAACAATAATGGACCTAGATTTGACCCTTGAGGTACACCGGACGTGGCCCGATAGTAACTCGACCTATGACCACCATATTCGACAAATAACCCTCAAATATGAATTCATGAGCGACAGCATTGCATCAGACATACCCACTGTTTTAAGCTTATCCAGAAGTGCATAATGATCAACTTGATCACACGCCTTCTGAATATCTGTGTAGATGACATCAACTTGTCCCTGACCGTCCAGTACCTCAGAAATGTACTGAGTAATTAGAGCCAAGTTGGTGACCGAAACTTTTTGCTTCTTTTAACGCCCTCTATCACCCGTTTAAATAATGACTATCATAACGTTTAAACAAGTTGTAGAAATCATTTTCTCTGTGTATAACATTTCTAAAGTCCTGGACTGACGACACTTGTGCAGAAAGCAAATCATCTTCTCTAGGGACCAACTCCACCCTTACCCCAACTCCGGCCGTGAGCATCTCCCTCACACAAAGCACGCCAATTTCGTTTGTCCCTCCCATAATTAGGGCCACTTTGCCTTCCATCCGAATCGCCTTTCTCATCGGTAAAAAAGACTTCTTCTCTGTCCGTCAGCCCTTTTCCAACGTTACGCTCTTCCTCTGGACGTGCTTCTAATGCTGTTGCATAATCCCTAATTTTGGACGAGAACAAAAAGTGGTAATTACCTTCGCAGTCCGGACAGAGATATTAATTTTGCTCTCGTCATCACGTTTAGGCTACCAGATAACGTGGGAGGATTTTTTCGACAAAAGCTCTGCGAGCTTCTGGAACGTATCCTGGTATTTTTTGTTTGATTCATTGCGTTTTAACAGGCCGACTTATCATTCGCGACGCGTGACCTTTCCTAGACTGTTACCAAAACCAGATGTGAAAAATCTTATTAAAGAAGTTTATTTTGAACCCTCCAAATATTTTTTTGCTTATTTTAGGTATTTTATTTAAACTATATTCAAATTAAGGTAAACATTCCTGGACTGAGCGTCTGGGGCACTTGATATACCGAATCGTCTTATGCTGTAACTAATCCAAGCCGTCCGAAAATACAGTCGACGTTTCTAGATGTTCGGAAAATTTAATTTAATTTTTGGCAATGAATGTTAACAATTCCCTGTAATTACCTCTACTGTCAGAGTCATCCCCTTCAAAATGAACGGTAATTCCTGTTTTGCCAAAAAACATACGGTATCTAGAAGTGTGCTGCCTAGAAGCTTGGTTAAGACAACTTTCGATTCTTGTTTTGCCCAACTGAGTTAAATTGGCTACACATCTCATATGTAACAGAGAAATTTCATGTCTCCTCTTTAGAGCCCTAAAAGTATTTCAATCATCGACTGCGCTGCTGGTCCAGCCATTTTTTTCTGTATAAAACAGAAGACATCACCAACAATACCATCTGTTTTTTTTGGCAACCACATAACCAAGAGTTTCCATATACCAACTTAATTTAAAATATCATAGTACGTTTTTTTCAATGATATCCTTTTTTTTTTCTTAAAAATTATACAAGGAGAATGACTTTTCAAGTAGTTGATCGCGACACTGATCCATGTTTCTGCGCCCCACGCACTCAGGCGACCGCGATCAGACACGAGCCGGTCCCGACGGTCCCCGACGGACTACCAAGTGTATCCAAAAATGAAAATGGTAACAACCGAGCCGACAACCGACAACCAATTTGCTATTTTCTGAATTACCATTACATACCGCTGTTGGTAAACAATAAAATGAAACTATTTCACAGTACTTAGTCATAAAATATTTATTTTTAAGATTTTAAATTGTTACCAATGGTAACAATGGTTACATGGACGCTTCGCCACTGCGACTTATTACGGCACGTTAGTTTCTCCACAAAACATTTGCCCGATATCGTATTTTTTTTATCACCTCCTACGTGTATGTTTCTTCGGTTATATTATACTAAGTGACATATAAATCCAAACACCCAGTTTAAATGGTTTTATTTTAATAAAAGTTGGTGAATGTATTTATCTTACTGTAAATAACAAGTGAAAAAATGTTCAGCCTTATCAGTTGGACATTCCGGTTTTTAGACTGCTTTTTTTTTAATTCACTAACGCTCTAACAATGAATATTTCAGCCGCAGTAAAGAATCAACGTTGGCGGATTTTGGTTCTTGACATCCTTTACGATCGGTTACGATGCCTAGAGTAGTAGTAGAGACCTGTACGATTTCGTCAACTTAGTGAGTTTGATAGGGGCCGTATAGTGGGACTTCGGGAAGCTGGACTTTCTTTTCGGGCAATTGCAGTTAGAGTGCAAAGAAGTGTAGACACTGTGGTTAGGTGTTGTCAGGCATGGCTTCGAGAAGGCCGTACGCAAAGAGCAAGGGGCACTGGACGCCGCCGTAGAACAACAGACCGTGAAGATCGCCGCCTAAGATTATTGGCCTTAAGGGACCGTTTCTCCACTACCAGGTCCATTGCAAATGAATGGTTTGCAGAACACGGAAGACCTATTGGCATGCGAAGTGTTTACCGACGAATGAGAAGTTTTGGCTTGTTTTCATACCGGCCACACTGGGTCCTCCCTTTAACTCGAGAACACCGACGTAATCGCCTTGAGTGGTGCAGACAACGGTCACTCTGGGATCAGGAATGGAACAGTATTATCTTTAGTGATGAGTCTCGATTTTGTTTAGGCATGCACGATGGTCGTGCCAGGGTTAGAAGGCGACGTGGTGAAAGGAGAAATCCACAGTTTTTTGTTGAAAGACATGTTCATCACACTGTTGGAGTTATGGTTTGGGGTGCTATAGCTTATGGTTCCAGGTCACCTTTAATCTTCATCAGAGGTAACATAAACGCGCAGCGTTATATCTACAAAGTTCTAGAACCCCATCTTTTCCCTATCTTGACACCCTGGCAGATCCAACTTTCCAACAAGATAATGCCCGACCACATGTTGCAAGAGTCACAATAGACTTCTTTCAACACGATGTCACATTGTTACCATGGCCACCAAGATCTCCCGACTTATCCCCAATTGAGCACGTGTGGGATATGATGGGTAGGAGATTGCTCAATTTGCAACGTCCTCCTCAGACTCTAGAAGCACTTCGAGAGGAGTTGCTGGTTGCCTGGAATGAGATACCACAGGAGGACGTTGACCACCTGATCAGAAGCATGCCCCGGCGCGTTGAAGAATGCGTAGCACATCAGGGTGCATCCACACATTATTAAAGGTCAAAGGGCTTTAAAGCAGTGCAATCATTTTGAAATTTTTATCATTTACTTATTATGCTTCATTAAGTACTTATACAAAATTTTATTAAAATAAACCCATTTAAAGTGGGTGTTCGGATTTATATGTCCCTTATTATATTTTAAGATTTTAATTAGTTAGATGGGATTAAGGATTTTTAGGGTATTCAGTGCTTTCTCGCTTTGTATTAAACGGTTCCATGTATCGGTTCCATAATCGAGAGACTGCCCTTTTTTGTCATTGTTCGATATTGTAGAATCTCCTGTGCTTGTAATATTTATTCGTGACGAAATAAATACTTTGAATTTGAATAAATAACGATGCAGGTAACACGTTTTTAATAGACGACACGTTTCTGATAGCGCATCGTGTGCAATTCAGATGCTGCGGCCTCGATACATAATGCAACGGATATACAGACAAATTTGTATTGGGGAATGCAAATAGGAAAAACACGGCTTGGGGAACTATATAATTTAAAAGAATTTACAATTTATCAAAACTAGTTCCATCCGCCTCGCCGCCATTCCATCCAGTCTGATATCCATTGACATCTGCTGACCTTGGCCTTGGGATTCTACCTGGTTCGGAACACTGGCGGTCTCGTTTATTTTGTCTACGGTTACTATGGATCCAAATTCTGACGCAATTTATTTCTGACGAGTTCCTTTGAAAACCAGGCGTTTATTTTCTAGTAGAGGTGACAAAGGAGAGATTGAAAGGCTGCGTTTTTTGCACAAAATAACCAATATAGTATTAATTATACAGGGTGGCGCATTGAAAACGAATCAGATGCATTTACTGGCAGCTCAGTTTTTTTTAAAAACGCTCAGACCCGTCGATTTTGTTTTCGAGGGAGACACAAATTTGGCAAAAAATCACGTGCACCCTAAGCGGGGGTGACACCACCCCCGAAATCTTAAATGGAAAGGGGGGTCGAGTAATACCTTATTTTAAAGGTCTTTCAATTCCCTTTAAAATGATATAAAATTAATGTACGTCAGTTCAGTAGTTTTGAAGATTTATTGATTTAAAGTTTAAATAAAACTAATACATCATCATTAGTGAATATCAATACTGAAATGAACTGACCCGTTAGGCAATGTACCGCCGATCATTCTGATTTTCAATTATGGCTGTTAATGCAGTAATTCCAAATATATTTCACCGGTCAAATTTCCAGGTAAGAAAAAAGGACCAACTAAATGTTCGGCAAAAGTACCAGCACAAACATTTAATTTTTGTGGCTGCTGTGTATGAACCTCATGATAAATTCTGGGATTAGAATCCGACCAATATCGGCAGTTATGACGATTTACTACGCCATTTAAGATAAAGGAACATTCGTCGGAAAATCAAGTGTTGAATAGAAAATGTTCATCGTTTATAGTTTGTTCACTCATATCTTCACAAAATTGTAATCGCTGATCAAAATTGTCTTCATTAAGTTCTTGTACCAGGTGAATTTTATACGGATGAAAACTATGGGCCTTTAGAATCCGTTGGACAGTACGTCGACTAACACCACACAAAGTCTCCAATTTTCGGGTGCTTAACGTAGGATCTACATCAACTTGCCCTAAAACACCCACTTCTATTGCTTCGTTCCTTATGGGATTTTCAATGTTGCGTTTTCTATTGGCGACTGACCCAGTTTCCCGAAATTTAGCTTTAGCTACAAGTTCTAGAACATGTTTTCGATGCACGTTACTGTTCTCATGTTGCTCATTAAATATTTCTGCTGTTCTATTAGCGCACTGATTATTTCCGAAATATATTTCGATAATTTCAACTCTTTCTGCTATGGAATATACCATGGTTAATTTATGTACTGAAGCGTTACAAGTTATTTTAGCAACAAAGTTTGGTCAAAACAATCGCAAACTATGTACTAAATTCCTATTTAAATAAGTACGAGATATTTCCTTATCTTCATTCAAAAAATAACTTTTTTGCCACAAAAAAACGCTCCAATAGCTATTTTCAACAACAAAATGTTAAACAAACCATGGGCGTAGTGAAGAAAAGCATTTACTTATTAAGTAAATTTCTTCTGAAAGTGGTACAAACTAATCTGATGTACCTATTAAAGTCTACTTTAAGCTTTAAATCAATAAATCTAAAGAACAGTATTTCCTAAGTTCCTCATATGCGACCTGAGTTAAAATATCTGGGAACCTATCCATCGTAGAGGCTTGCGGTAAAAAAGCTCTTGCTAAAACGGCCAAGAGAAAAACCTGGAAAATAGTTTCAAGTTCTGAACTGCTATCTTGAATCTCAAAAATTTATGTTTCTGTGAATTCCACTAACACTGATCTATAAAGTCGAGGATAATGGGAACATTTTTTATTTGACAATTTTTGTTGTGTCTCTAAAAATAAAGTGGTGGGGCTATTCAAAGGTTTCCGTAAAAAACACCCTGTATCTGCGATACGGCTGAGCTGATTTTAACAAAATTGGGCTATTTGAAAAACTATTCTTGGGCTACAAATGCTACAATATTTGAAGTTTTGTTAGTTTCACGTGTGGCCGCTAGAGGGCTCTCTTCGATACTCCGACAGAAATTGTTCATTTAAATGGATCGGTGTCATCTTTTTCATGCGAGAACCGCATCTCGATATCTTGTTTCTAACATAAAAGTTAGGTCAAAGAAGGTTTCATACACACATCCCTTAAGCGTTATTCCTTTTAAACTAATTTTTCTGGAACTTCCTTTTGTTATTGAATTCTGGCCCTGAAGTCCTAGCGGAATTCACAGAAACATCACTTTTATAGATTCAAGATTACAGTTACGCACCCCTTGCGGCCATTCCAGAATTTTTAAATTATTTTCCATGTTTTTCTCTTGGCCGTTTCCGTTATAACTGTTTTTGGTGCAAGAACAGGTTCCGAGATTTAGTACCTCGCATTCTTAGTTGGTCACCCTGTATATCAATAATGCCGGTTTTGCAGGGGCAATACCACATACTATTAAGAAAATGTCTATCTACGTACTGTGAGGGTGAGCGCCTCCAGAGTAAAACCATTCTCCTACAAGTAGAAATAAAATTAGACGGTGATAAACACGCCATAACGCATCACTTACTTGCAAACGCTGCGAAGAGAGAAATTATTCCTAACGAAGAATTTAGACATCACCATCTTCAGAGCGCTTCAGAACACTTTTAACCCATATCCTAAAATTTTGTCATCACTAAATTTGGACATGATCTATTAAGTGGGTCATCTGTCTCTGTCAGTATCTTATATCTTTCACAGGATGTTTCGCTACATACCCCAAAAGAATAAAATCAAATGGTACGAACAAGTCCCCCTCAAGGTTCAGTTCTTGGACCTCACTTTGTATTGATGACGTCTCTTGCCCCAGCAGATGTGAAATCTGTCTCTATGCTGATGGCACTGCACAACAGGCTGCAAAGTGCGGTGGTCGAGGTATTGGAATGGGCGAATCGGTGTCTGATCAAAATTATTCATTCGAAAATAGCCTATCTAAACTAAACTACTAATAAAAATTCTAGAACTGACGCTCCATGGTATGTCTCCAATGCGACCCTGCACAGAGACCTTGTCTTGCCTAGTCCCTTATCTAAGGGGCTGCAAGAAGCGCAGCTGCAATATAGCCAAGCAAGTCAAGCAAAACTGTAATTTTTTTTAACAACTAAAGTCTAGATTAATTTTAGGATCAATATAAAGCTCCCAAAGACTAGCTAGCAATACCAAGGCGCCCCTCAAATTGACGCATTTCCTTCTCTTTGCTATCACTCCTTCCTTTCTTTCCTCTTCCCTTTTTTCTACCTGACACTGTCTGGTATCTAGACCTGCCAGACCTAGTGACAAAATTTTAACCAAGTGTAGTCCTACGGACCGCTGTGATAAACAATGAGGCAATCAGGCAACATTTTTTTGACATGAACCAAATCTATAGAGCGGGAAATATAACGATCGAATCAGTCTTTGACCTCCAAAGGAATGTACCGTTGAAAGTCGGGACCGGGACCAAATATCTAACTGATAAAGTAAGCTTAAAAACTATGAGTTCGTAAGAAATTACTTCTTTAAAAAATGGACTTGAAGTAAGCGTGAAGGTCAAGCTCAAAGTCAAATTCAAGGTTACCGTCAAATAGCCTTCGCAAAATTCTTCGCTTATACATGGGTAGAATTTCTTTTTCACTCATGGTATTCACGATTATTTTTCATATCCGGACCTTCTAAACACCATATATACCAAACCATCGTTCCAGAATTCAAAAAGTGGTACTTGGGATGCGTTCGGCTTTTCCACGTCCTTTGAAGATCTTTCAAAACCTAATTTGATCAAAATTGAAGGACAAAGAATTTTCGAAAATATTAAGAAAATAGGTTTGTTGACCTTGACATAATCTTTAGGTATGATTTTACATCCGTTGAACATATTTCCATTTTCAGCTCTGGGATCAAAATTGAGTGCTTCAATGTGAAAAAAATCTATTTGTCCTTGAACAAACCTTCAAGGTCTTAGCCAAGGTCAAAATGAAGGTCACCAGATGTACCGTTGGGTGTACTGCAATTTTCGTTCTTCTTTAATATCATTTTTTCATATCATTCCACGAAGGATCAACAATTGACCTTGAAATAACCTTTAGACGTTATTCTAGCCACTATGATATTTATAGCGTTGAAAATGGAATTTTCTGCAATAAAAACGAGGATTTCTATTTGAAAGAATCAACTTATCCTTATAATGACCTCCAAGATGAATGTCAACGTTCGCTAGATGCGCCATTTGATTTCCTGGAACTCTTGTATTTTAAGCTTTTTTTTATCACACTTAGTTTCCGATCTATTTGGATGTGTCCATACGTTTGTAAGCTTCAGTTTTTGAGTTTCAGGTTACAGGACTACAAAATAGTAACCACTAGACGTGAACTATAAGAAAGCCTGTTGAAACGCGGTATCATTATATAGGAAGAAGTCCTTCTGAATATTTTTTTTACCTCTGCAACTTCTCAATTCACAACGAAACTACTACAATATTTAGATTCAACATGAGATAAACAATGCCGTCCTTCAATATCTGCGTTGATCCCAAAATTCACATCCATCTTTGACGTTTTAACCACTTTAAATGTACTGTTTCCTAAGTACTTGGATAATCTGTAATCACGCTATCTTGGGAGCAGCAAGGCCTAGCGTTTTGTCATTGTGAAAAATCTGGATCTGTCACTGGATCATGCGTCACAAGAGAGCAGTTACATACACTAGACAGTAAAATTTATTTGTCAGACCGTAACATCACCATATTCAAATTAACACCGAAAAAATACTACTTCTTCTTGCCATCTTTTTCGGGGGCCGGTTTCTTAGCATCTCCAGCACCATCTTTCTTCAAAAACTTCTTGCACGGGTCTTCCTTCTCCTCTTTCTTCCCGTCTTTTTCCTCTCCTTTCTTCTCGCCCTTCTAAACGCGAATGCAGAAAGTTATAATCAGTGTTGGTGGACTTACGTTTCAAAGGACCTGAGGAACTATGCACTGAGGAACCAACTTACAAAATGTGCATCTAGAAATATATCTGCAATAGAACGGAGCGAGTTGGAACGTTTGTTTTACTCGATAAAAGGTTTTAGTAGAAAGATAGATAAAGAGATAGATAAATGTGCTTTATTGTCTAAAGGATGCAATCATCCTTTATGAGAAAGCATCACAACATAAATTCATTCCATATCCAGGACAAACTATAAACACACAAAACAATACCCAGCCACCTATCTAAGAGATAAAAAGAAGCGATTAGATAATGTAATTCATCTGAGCATATCGTTTAGCTGATTTATGCGACCAAAAGACGAGACAGTCCGCATTGACATCACTCACGTCATTAATAATATCAAAATAATGTATAGCTGCGATCCAGCATAAAATAGCGGTACGGTTTAAGCCTGAATCACGGCGGGATAATGGGTGCATACTATCTATCTTGTTATGCAACAGTTTATATAAAAATGCGATGGAAGATTGAACACGGCTTAAATCAAGGAACCTATAACACAGATGAACCTCAGAAATGTCCGTTATAGAATATGGACCATCACATTTTAAAGAAACGGCTTTGTATCTATTCTAAAGAGGTTATGTAGGATGGATTCCAAACTAAAGATGCATATATACTAAGTGACATATAAATCCGAACACCCAGTTTAAATGGTTTTATTTTAATAAAAGTTGGTGAATGTATTTATCTTACTGTAAATAACAAGTGAAAAAATTTTCAGCCTTATCAGTTGGACATTCCGGTTTTTATACTGCTTTTTTTTAATTCACTAACGCTCTAAAAATGAATATTTCAGCCGCAGTAAAGAATCAACGTTGGCGGATTTTGGTTCTTGACATCCTTTACGATCGGTTACGATGCCTAGAGTACGGAGACCTGTACGATTTCGTCAACTTAGTGAGTTTGATAGGAGCCGTATAGTGGGACTTCGGGAAGCTGGACTTTCTTTTCGGGCAATTGCAGTTAGAGTGCAAAGAAGAGTAGACACTGTGGTTAGGTGTTGTCAGGCATGGCTTCGAGAAGGCCGTACGCAAAGAGCAAGGGGCACTGGACGCCGCCGTAGAACAACAGACCATGAAGATCGCCGCCTAAGATTATTGGCCTCCAGGGACCGTTTCTCCACTACCAGGTCCATTGAGAATGAATGGTTTGCAGAACACCACACTGGGTCCTCCCTTTAACTCGAGAACACCGACGTAATCGCCTTGAGTGGTGCAGACAACGGTCACTCTGGGATTAGGAATGGAACAGTATTGTCTTTAGTGACGAGTCTCGATTTTGTTTAGGCATGCACGATGGTCGTGCCAGGGTTAGAAGGCGACGTGGTGAAAGGAGGAATCCACAGTTTTTTGTTGAAAGACACGTTCATCACACTGTTGGAGTTATGGTTTAGGGTGCTATAGCTTATGGTTCCAGGTCACCTTTAATCTTCATCAGAGGTAACATGAACGCACAGCATTATATCCACGAAGTTCTAGAACCCCATCTTTTACCCTATCTTGACACCCTGGCAGATCCAACTTTCCAACAAGATAATGCCCGACCACATGTTGCAAGAGTCACAATAGACTTCTTTCAACATAATGATGTCACATTGTTACCATGGCCACCAAGATCTCCCGACTTATCCCCAATTGAGCACGTGTGGGATATGATGGGTAGGAGATTGCTCAATTTGCAACGTCCTCCTCAGACTCTAGAAGCACTTCGAGAGGAGTTGGTGGTTGCCTGATCAGAAGCATGCCTAGGTACGTTGGAGAATGGTTAGCACATCAGGGTGCATCCACACATTATTAAAGGTCAAAGGGCTTTAAAGCAGTGCAATCAGTTTGAAATTTTTATCATTTACTTATTATGCTTCATTAAGTACTTATACAAAATTTTATTAAAATAAAACCATTTAAACTGGGTGTTCGGATTTATGTGTCACTTAGTATATTTTAATCTAGAACAAATATATGCACAGTATAACTTTTGCACTCATATATCACCGAACGCTTTACAGTTTCTGACTATAAATCCATAGAATTTGAATGCCTTTGATATTTTTAAGTTGATAATTAAGGTCTAGTTCTTCATCAAACCACACACCCAATGTGGTCAATTCTTATTCGCAGCCTTATATTGATTTTCAATTATCTGATTTTTTCTTGAAAAATCTTAGCATTTTGCACTTTGATCATCAAGGTTCTGAGGTAGAATACAGCAATCTGAGATGCTACGAATATTTTCAGATCATCAGCGAATGACAAATTCAAAGAGGAAAAGTTGCAAGACAGATTGTTTATGTGCAGTAAAAATAGAAGTGGACCTAAGCTGGAACCTTGCGGTACACCTGACGCTGTTATATCTTCTTGAGATACAAAACCATTATGAAAAACATACTGGAACGTATTTTCAAGATGTGATTGAAAGAAATTAACAATTATATAGTAAAATCCAAAATTAGATACTTTGCTTAGTGATATATAATGATATGTCTTGTCAATCGCTTTAAAGGCATCTGTATAGACCATATCCAGCTGATCATGACTGTCCAAAATGACAAACTGCGTGAAACTAACCAGATTGATAACAGCACATCAAAAACCATGCTGAGAGACGGAAGCTTGGCTTCAGACCAAAGGATACGGAATCATTTCAAATATTTTCTGATAAGATAGATATGGGTATATAGTTTTCAATTTCGTTCCAGATAATGCCCCCA